CTACTGAATCAAAATATATGCAATAGCTGTTATTTTTTTCGTGATTGCAGAATTAATTGGTCACGTAGAGAAAGTTGTTTGTTATCGATGTCTGAATATGTCAGTATTTTTTTTTTCGGGTATCTATCTATCTCATAAATGCATATTAAAATAATTATTTTCGTTTCAGATACCTAGGAAGTGGAAATTCAATAACCGATTTACATTTGAAATTCAAACGGGGAAAATCTACTATTGCATATATGATACAAAGAGTTTGTCGTGCTATCTGGACCAATCTTCTTCGAGACAACATCCCTGAACTGACAATTGAAAGTTTCCAAACAATAGCGAGGGATTTTGATGTAAAGGCAAATTTTCCTCACTGTGTTGGTGCCATCGACGGCAAACACATCCGTGTGTGTAATCCTGCACATAGTGGCTCACTTTTTTATAATTATAAAGCCTTTTTTTCGATTGTGTTGCTAGCTATTGTGGATTCAAATTACAAATTCGTTTTTGTCGACATCGGTGCATACGGAAAAGAATGCGATTCAACCATATTACTAAATTCTAAACTGTACGAGCTAATGATTAACAACAACTTACCACTACCTCAACCCCAGCCACTCTCTGGTAGCAATATACCAACCCCGTATGTATTTGTGGGTCACGAAGCTTTTGGACTGAGCAAACATATTATGCGTCCATATGGTGGTAAAAATCTTGACTTACAACAAAAGGTTTTCAATTATCGTCTAAGCAGGGCCAGAAGATATGTCGAATGCGCTTTTGGGATTATGGCAAACAAATGGCGCATTTTTCACAGACCGATAGACGTGTCCTATGACTTCGCTACTGACATAATAAAAGCATGTTGTGTACTACACAATTTTGTCGCTGATCGAGATGGTTTTAGACAAAGAGATACATTTGCTATAAGTGTTGATGAATTTCTCCCAATACAACCCGCAGATGAAGAACAGACAGCACCGAATGTCATAAGACAGCATTTTGCGACCTATTTTATGACTAGAGGAACTCTGCCTTGGCAACTAAAGAAGGTATAATAGTATTAAATAAAAAAAACAATAAATATCTGTACTGTGAACTCACCAACTTTGTTTTTTCGTTCAGCTGTGAAATTCTCGTAATCAGGAAATAAAACTTTTGATATTTCTTCCCAGGCTTTTGTTTTTAAATTTTTATTTTTAAAATCTACGTTTGACTTGTCCCATATATATTCACTTTCCTGAATCAATGTAATGAAGTAATCCATGTCAATTTCTTCAATGGAATTCATTTTATCCTGCTTATAAAACTGAATACAAAAACGTAACGTACTTAAAATGAAATGAGCTTGCGTGTATCCTCTCTGTCAACGCACAAGCAACTGAGCGCTGCCGTTCCGACGTCGCACGAGTACACCCCCTCCCGCTTCGTCTCGGGGGCTGCTGTCCGTCATGTGTGCGTTGCGACGACGCAGCGCGCCGTGTGAACACTTTGGTTATTGGCATTGGCAAGGACAGCGCTGCGTCGACGCAACGTTGACGCAACGCGCCGTGTGGACCGGCTCTAACTCGAGAACACCGACGTAATCGCCTTGAGTGGTGCAGACAACGGTCACTCTGGGATCAGGAATGGAACAGTATTGTCTTTAGTGACGAGTACCTCGATTTTGTTTAGGCATGCACAATGGTCGTGCCAGGGTTAGAAGGCGACGTGGTGAAAGGAGGAATCCACAGTTTTTTGTTGAAAGACATGTTCATCACACTGTTGGAGTTATGGTTTGGGGTGCTATAGCTTATGGTTCCAGGTCACCTTTAATCTTCATCAGAGGTAACATGAACGCGCAGCATTATATCCACGAAGTTCTAGAACCCCATCTTTTACCCTATATTGACACCCTGGCAGATCCAACTTTCCAACAAGATAATGCCCGACCACATGTTGCAAGAGTCACAATAGACTTCTTTCACCATAATGATGTCACATTGTTACCATGGCCACCAAGATCTCCCGACTTGTCCCCAATTGAGCACGTGTGGGATATCATGGGTAGGAGATTGCTCAATTTGCAACGTCCTCCTCAGACTCTAGAAGCACTTCGAGAGGAGTTGGTGGTTGCCTGGAATGAGATACCACAGGAGGACATTGACCACCTGACCAGAAGCATGCCTAGGCGCGTTGGAGAATGCGTAGCACATCAGGGTGCATCCACACATTATCAAAGGTCAAAGGGCTTTAAAGCAGTGCAATCATTTTGAAATTTTTATCATTTACTTATTATGCTTCATTAAGTACTTATACAAAATTTTATTAAAATAAAACCATTTAAACTGCGTGTTCGGATTTATATGTCACTTAGTATATATAACCTCCTCACTTTGTACAAGGTCCTAGCCTAGTTGACGTGTTGACGCGCCCACTACATTATCCATGATCCGTGCTGTTCAGACTAGAGCTGAGCGACTGATCGATGACTCTCTTTTAACGAACAGCCTCGAGACCGCCTCGCACAGACGGTATGTCGGTGACCTTGACCCCTTCTACCGGCTTTGCTCCTCAGAGCTCTTCTCCATAATGCCGCCACGCAATGCGCCTGCCGGACAGACCCGCCTGGATTCGACCCCCCATCCCAACCACGTCGAACTTCGTACATCCAGAAGTGGCCGAGTTTGTGGAATAATCTGCCCAGTCTACTACCATTTAACTCCTCATAGTAGCAGCGGAGTCCCGGTATTTAGAAATGAGAGTATCATCTACCGATATATAGAGGGACAGACGATCGATTAAAATGATAAACACTCGTAAGACCTCTACGACATATTTTTTGTGAAGAAGGTAAATTATGTTTGCGTAAACACCAACTTGGTATCGATAAATTCTGGTGCGAAATACGTCAGCTGGTGCGAAATTATTAGAGTACTTTAGGGGATGAAATGTTCCCACGCTTGGTAAAACTGTTTACGCAACGAGAGTGCCGCAGGTGAAATAATTCCAACACTCTCGTGAAGAGCTGGAGTAGAAAGAAACTAAAATAGAGGAATCGTAGAGCCTTTGAGCAGAATGAAATTGACACAACTGGCTGTATATTTGCAAAGTCGCTGAATATGTCGAACTCTCATGAAGGATTCAATATTCGTTAAACTGCGATACGTGTAGTTTGCTTACAACGAACGAGAGACAACAAAGGTCACAGATAGAAAAGTATCTGTTTTTACATTACCAATTATATACAATGTTGCTGTGGATATACGAGACCCGTCCCCCTTCAGTTGGCCCAACTATTGAAATCTTAGTTTTTTTCTTATCAAACACAAATAATAAAAATGTAGCAGGGTGTTGTAGGTTTAAAATATTAACAATGAATATTTTGATAATATATAGTAGAAAACACCAACTTTATCACTCCCTAATCAAATGTGCAACATAAAAAGAACACATGTTGCAATTACAGCATATCAACCTATTTTCATTTCAATGCAAAATAAGTCTATAATGCATAGGTGGCTGTGAAAAATAAAAGCCATGACAATTGTTTTTATTAATCACACCTTTCAAAATACGTTTAAAATAGTTTTGGGTAGTTAAGGTTTTCAAAATGGGTAGAGGAAAGGTGGGAAAATTCGGTTACTGATAATTAAAATTTTTAATTCTGGCAAATCAAACTCAGAAATTGCAACTTTGTTAGACTTATCGCGATACAGTGAGAGAAATATTGTTAGAAGATACAACGTAACTGGTTCAGTTGATATTAAGCCACTATATGTGAAAAAAAGTAATATCACTAAGGCCGACCGAAGAGCATTAAGAAGAATAATCGTGAAAAACAGACGTGCCAATTATTTACAATTAAGTACTCTATGGAGTGACGCTGTTGGAAGGAGAATTTCGAGGCCCACAACTCATAGAGAGGCCCACAAACTGCAAGGTAAGTTTTCTTATAAAAAAAGTAAAAATCCTAAAGTTGCACAACTTGTTTATAGGTCAAAGAAAAGCCACATAGTGATGGATTGTGCAATTATGGACATATTGATGAAAATTCGGTATATATAGGGAGAAAAGTAAAGGTCCCAATATTGAACCTTGAGGAACACCAAACTCTATAGCAGTTGACTGTGACATTTTCGAGGCTGTTAGGACCTTTTGATTTCTATTTGACAAATAGCAACTTATCAAATTGACTGCAGCGTCAGTAAAACCATAGTAAGACAGCATAAGTAGAAGAATTTCAGGTTCTATCATATCGAAAGCTTTTGTGTAATCCAGCAGAACTAGACAAGTGATATTTCCTTGATCAATGCTTCTTAGAACATCATCAGTGGCATTGGCTATAGCAGTTGTTGTACTATGGTTTTTCCTGAATCCAGACTGCATTGATGGAACTATTTCTTTACTAAAAATATACTGAGATATTTGTATCTTCATTTCCCGTTCCAAAAGCTTCGAAAATGCGGGAAGTAAGCTGACTGGTCTAAGTTACGTTACAGACGTGGGAATCGCTACTTTAGGAACAGGTATGACGATAGCCTGCTTCCAAGCATCAGGGAAACGTTGATATTGCGTGATTAAATACTATATAATAAATGTAACATGGTCTAAGAGCAAAGTGAAAAGGTATTTTAACATAATGAGTGAGATTCCATCAGCCTCCACAGCATTAGTTTTAATATATGAGAAACTCTTCGCAACAGATTATTTGGCAACGTTTTGGAAACAGAAAGACTTATTGTTTTGATATTTGTTCAATTGCTTTTGTGTCTTGGTTATGATCGGAATATTTGAGAAATGTGAATTTATTTCATCTGCGTCATTGAAGCTATCTGGAAGAGTATTTATAGAGGACTGAATTATATTATTAAGTTTCCTAAGAGAACTCCATAATGCTTGACTGTTCCTCCCAGATAGGAACATAGGCCTTATATGTAATAAAAAAATTGCACTAGGGAAACTGCCTGAGTGTAGCTTCTGGTTTACTTATTTGCGAAAATACTCAACTTTTGACTAGAGTGACTCACCTCTCTTCTGTACAAGGAAAACATTTTCCTGCTATGAAGTCATCATATGATTTACACGGAAAAGCTGGAAAATGGCACCTGGGGGAGATGGAGTCTATGAAGAACTTGTAAGCCCTCCGATGATTGCATAAGGATCTTCCTTCTACTGCCGTTGCTGAAAAATAGAGATAAAGCTTATAACGGGTGATTTTTTAAGAGGTATAGGATTTGATTTTAAAAAAACACAAAAAATTTGAAAAAAACGATTAAATCTTTATTTGAGTCTATAGAACGGTCGATATAATTTAATGTTTGAAGATTATTTCATGTAAATGTTGGCCGCGGCTCCGCTTTAGATGGCCCCTGCGCAAGGACCAATTTTGGCACACCCTCTCCAACATATCGGCCGGTATCTCACGAATAAATGCTTCAATATTGGCTTCCAGTGCGTCAATCGTTGCTGGTTTATCTCTGTAGACATTAGCCTTAACATGGCCCCACAAAAAATAGTCCAACGGCGTTAGATCCGATGATCTAGGTGGCCAATTGACGGGCCCCAAACGTGAGATAAACTGTTCACCGAACTCGCCTATCAATAGGGACATTGTTTCGTGTGCGTTGTGGCATGTGGCACCGTCTTGTTGAAACCACATGTCATCCAAGTCCAGCTCTTCCGTTTTGGGTAAAAAAAAGTTTGTCATCATCTCACGGTAGCGCTCGCCATTCACAGTTACGTTCCGGCCATTGTCGTCTTTGAAGAACTACGGCCCGATGATGCCACCGGCCCATAATCCACACCAAGCAGTGATTTTTTCGGGATGCATTGGTAGCTCTTGCAATGCTTCTGGCTGGTCTTCACTCCAGATGCGGCAATTTTGCTTGTTAACGTACCCATTCAACCAGAAATGAGCTTCGTCGCTGAACACAATTTTTCGATAAATATGTGGATCTTCCTCCAACTTTGCCTGCGCCCATTCACCAAATTGGAAACGTTGTGGTAGGTCGTGTGGCTTCAATTCTTGCACCTATCTTATAAGGTTTTACACCCAAATCCTGTCGCAAAATTCTCCACGTAGTGGAGTAACAGAGGCCCAATTGCTGCGAACGGAGGCGAATCGACATTTGACGGTCATCACTAACACTGGCGGATACAGCCGCAATATTTTCTTCAGTCCTCACTCTACGTCTGCGTGTTGGTGGTTTAATGTCCAATAATGTAAACTGGGTTCGAAATTCAGTCACAGGCTTCCGAATAGCTCCCTCAGTAGGCCGACCAAATTGCCCATAAATTGGAAGCAGTGCTCTATGCACTCTCTTAACCGAGCATGAATTTTGATAGTAAAATATTCAATAATTTGCAAGCATTGTTCGTTCGTAAATCGATTCATGGTTAAATTATAGATCAAACTGAATAAGCTTGACAATGACACAAGACACGATTCACGCGTCATCTGTCAAAAACAGTGATGCCAAAAAGATACTAGCAAAAAAATCACCCATTACATAGGTTAGAGTCGACTTTTACATTCTGCAATGTGGACTTTTTAATACTGCTACTTGTTGATCAAGATTAGATGAAACCACATCTTTAACGAAAAATATACATATACATCTGTACAAAAAACCTTGATGTTCACCTCATAGGCTCAAAAATTTCTTCTGTCAGTATTATTCTCCATCTGATATAGGTACACAAAATAAGCAGAGTCGTTGTTTTACATTCCTGTTCTGATTATTTAAAAATCACGGTTTTCATTAAAATACGCGATTAATCCTCTTTTGTAGCAGCAGTACACTTCCCTCTGCTGAAATTACTCTTCCATTCATTTCCATTCTACGCAAACGAGACCCTGCTTGATACCCCCTTTGTGGCTATTTCATTTAAGGCTGGTTCATGCATTGTTGGTGAAGATTTATAGTGGAAACGTTTTCACAAACAATTAGGTCATCACCAAATGAGATCTAACGTATCAACCTAATTAGAGTGTCCGATTTTGAACGTTCCATCGGTGATATTATGTCAGTAGCACCATTCCATTGGGTAAGGAGACGGCACAAGTTATATGGCAGGAGCGTATTCTGTGGAATTGTCTGAATTTGTTACTACAAAGGTATTTCCTGATAAAAGATATCCATCTAAGTACTAATGAATGTAAAATTATGTTTTTTGGGACAAGAAACAAGCGTAATATAGCAATTAATAGAATTCCATGAAATTGATAGATTTTGATATTTTGATAGTTATCTAACGACAATCGCGCGGCCCGTTGTGGTTATGGTTAGATATCGCCCTAAAAGTTCGGGTTCTTCTAGCCACTTTATACTACAATGTGTACGTTGGCTCTTGTTGGGGACTTCGTGTGTAATTTTTTACCTCTCCATCTTAGTTTCATCAGGTTATACACCCGTATCCGCTGCGGTTGCATATGTGCATTCATTTCCGGCCCCATGAAGCCAAACAGCAGAAAACAATTTCGCTCGGGTTACCTATCCTATTTTCTGCTCGTATCCACTTTCCCTCTTTTTGCGAATTTTACCCACTATCTTCCTACTTTTTGTTATATATGTATATATATACTCGTATATATACAGGGTGGCACATCGAAAACAACACAGATGCATTTACTGGCAGCTCAGTTTCTTTTTTGAAAAACGCTCAGACCCGTCATTTTGTTTACGAGGGGGACACAAGTTTGTGGCCTTTATAATCCGTTGGACAGTACGTCGACTAACACCACACACAGTCTCCAATTTGCGGGTACTTAACGTAGGATCTACATAAACTTGCCCTAAAACCCCCACTTCTGTTACTTAGTTCCTTATGGGATCTTCAATGTTGCGTTTTTTATTGGCGACTGACCCAGTCTCCCGAAATTTAGCTATAAGTTCTAGAACATATTTTCGATGTACGTTACTGTTCTCTTGTCGCTCATTGAATATTTCTGCTGTTCTATTAGCGCACTGATTATTTCCGAAAAATATTTTGATAATTTCAACTGTTTCTGCTATGGAACATACCATGGTTACTTTATGTAATAAAGCGTTACAAGTTATTTTAGCAACAAGCTTTGGACAAATCAATCGCAAACTATGTACTAAATTCCTATTTAAAATAAGTACGAGATATTTCCTTATCTTTCAACAAGGAATAGCTTTTTTGCCACAAAACTTACTTATTAAGTAAAATATTTTATCTTAATTTCTTCTGAAAGTAGTACAAACTAATCTGATGTACCTATTAAAGTCTACTTTAAGCTTTAAATCAATAAATCTTCAAAACCACTGAACTGAAGCTCATGTGTTTTACATCATTATAAAGGGAACTGGAAGACCTTTAAAATAAGGTGTCACTCGACCCCCCTTTCCATTTAAGATTTTGGGGGTGGTGTCACCCCCGCTTAGGGAGCTGCACGTGCTAACATGATTTTTTGTCAAACTTGTGTCCCCCTCGAAAACAAAATCGACGGGTCTGATGCGTTTTTAAAAAAAAAATTGAGCTGCCAGTATATGCGTCTGCTTCGTTTTAGATGCGCCACACTGTATATATATATACAGGGTGACTTCGAAGTTGAGTCATTTATTTTAACAGTGAGTAGATCTGATCAAAAGAAATGTTTTTTTCCTTTACCATTTTCCTGGTAAAATTAAAGTAACAGAGTTATAGCCCTTTGGAAGTTTGAGTACCGCCCTGTCTCAATAACAATATTATGTGGTCGTGTTTGGCGACAATGGATATAATCCGCCGTATCGGTTCATCGCATCGGAAACAAAAAAGCGAAAGAATTTGGAACGATGTTTTTACAGGTGTCTCATTCATTTGTATACAGTTAGTGTCAGTGAATAGTTGTATGTGTTGCGTGGCTCAAACGAAATAAAAAATGGCACATGTTTATGCGGATCGGTTTCCCAATCGAGTGCAACCAACCCCTCGTGCCTTTGTTAATGTAGTACAACGGGCTTGTGAATCAGGTGACTTAAGACCTCACAGGGGACCTCACGATCAAATACAGGTCCGCACTGAAATACTTGTCGGGAGGATACTTTATAAAACAAGGTAAAAATTTTTTTTTATTTTTTTTTTATTTTTACACACATATTTTGGTTTATCTTCCTTCTACAATCATTATCTGAAAATTAATGACTCAACTTCAAAGTCACCCTGTATATATATATATAAGCATAATTAGATATATTCTTTCTGGACATTTACGGTACCACTAACCATTTAAACCTGGCACAATAATTCCAGAATAGTCTATAGATTGTCGTACCTCTGCAAACATTTTGTTGAACCTCTATCTTCTTACGGCAATGTCAAGCTCAGAACAAAAGATTTGGACCTAGAAGGTTCGTAGTAGCCTTTTTTAGTCAGAACAATATCATTTATCATGAAAAGAAATTGGAAAATACTTCGAAATTCAAGTTCATCCGTACCTCAATCATTTCTTAAGGCCAGACAGAGTATGATTTAACAGGTTTTAAAATGTTTCTCGTGATTATAAAAATTCGATAAGACCCAGGTCGAGCCTTGCTGGAATGTCACTTACATACCCCTACTTCCAACGTGCTTAAAACAGTTTTTTTGAAGCATCTCGTTTGCTAAGGTGGAGAATTTGGAACCTTTGTTCATGTGGCAAATGTGTTGGGATTTTTAGAATATAAACCGTGTATCTAAAGATATTGGACACCAACACCATTAAAGAACCGAATAAGTATCGAAGATCGATGGACGGTGAAAGGAGAATTATTCTCAATTGAACGGAATAAATATGCGAGTATATTCTGTGTTGTAAGATGGGAACATAGATACAGGGTGGCGCATCGAAGACGAAACAGACGCATTTACTGGCAGCTCAGTTTTTTTTTTTGGAAAAACGCTCAGACCCGTCGATTTTGTTTTCGAGGGGGACACAAGTTTGGCAAAAAATCACGTTAACACGTGTAGCCCGCTGGGCGGGGGTGACACCAACCCTAAAATCTTAAATGGAGTGGGGGGTCGAGTCACAGCTTATTTTAAAGGTCTTTCAATTCCCTTTCAGTAGTTTTGAAGATTCATTGATTTAAAGCTTAAAGTAGACTTTAATAGGTACATCAGATTAGTTTTTACTACTTTCAGAAGAAATTTGACTAAAAGAGTTTACTTAATGGGTAAATGCTTTTCTTCACTACGCTCAT